AAGTTAAACATCTAGACTTGATATTCCTCCTGTTATTTAACTCGATAGAATAATTTTTGTTTAATAAATAACTAATAAATTAGGGTACCATTGGGAAGAGAATTAAACGCCCTTTAAAATTATGTACCTCTTGACCCCTTTTCCCATTTAAGATTTAAGGATAACAACTACCCCTCCTATGAAGTTGAGCCACGAGTGTTAAAAGTATTTATTGTAGGTGTCCTCCTTGAAAATAAAATTGACGGGTTTTTGCGATTTTTCACATTATTTAATGGAAGAAAGATATTTAATTTGGGAAGTTTTCGGTGTCACCCTGTATGTATATCACTTGTTACATAAACACTCATAAAGAAAAAAATTAATACAAAAATTTAAATAGTACCTGACCTGTTTAATTATGTATTCCTCTTATTAAAAAAGTATTCGTAATTTACATTTAATTATATGTATATTTTTATTGAATTAATAAAAAAACTGAGTACAATCCTGGAAACACTCAACTTTAATTTTTATTAATTTTTATTTTTTTTTATTAATTTTTATTAATTTTTATTAATTTTTATTAATTTTTATTAATTTTTATTAATTTTTATTAATTTTTATTAATTTTTATTAATTTTTATTAATTTTTATTAATTTTTATTAATTTTTATTAATTTTTATTAATTTTTATTAATTTTTATTAATTTTTATTAATTTTTATTAATTTTTATTAATTTTTATTAATTTTAATTTTTATTAATTTTTATTAATTTTTATTAATTTTTATTAATTTTAATTTTTATTAATTTTTATTAATTTTTATTAATTTTTATTAATTTTTATTAATTTTTATTAATTTTTATTAATTTTTATTAATTTTTATTAATTTTTATTAATTTTTATTAATTTTTATTAATTTTTATTAATTTTTATTAATTTTTATTAATTTTTATTAATTTTTATTAATTTTTATTAATTTTTATTAATTTTTATTAATTTTTATTAATTTTTATTAATTTTTATTAATTTTTATTAATTTTTATTAATTTTTATTAATTTTTATTAATTTTTATTAATTTTTATTAATTTTTATTAATTTTTATTAATTTTTATTAATTTTTATTAATTTTTATTAATTATTATTACTTCTTATTATTTTTTATTATACTTCATTATTTACTTATGATGAGTGGCTACAATTTAAATTTTCAAGTTTATACTTTTAAAAAAATCGATATCCCCATAAAAACTTTCACCCTCCCCCTCTACTTCTTTTCTCATTCCTCCATTTCCCTCTTAAAATATGAAAACCTAAAAACCCTCAAACACATCATTATTTATTTGTGATGAGTAGTTATAATTCAAGTTTTCAAGTTTTTACCTTTAAAAAATCGATACTTCCGTACAAACGTTTCCCCCCCTTAAAACGTGAAAATCGAAAAACCCTGAAACACATCATTATTTAGTCCAAAAATTTGATATACATTTCTTCATATCTCTTTTTTGATTTGGCCGGTAATAAATCTGAAGAGGTTTCTTCAGCTTTAAAAATAATTTCTGGGGGAGTACAATCGCTTTCTGACTCAGACATCATGAAAATGTGTTAAATTTAGGACGAACTGAAACTGAGAGTTCTCAAAAGTGATAAAACTTCAAATAAACAAATGAAAACCAGGAAACTAGATGTAGATTGGTTTAATTTGCACTATTTTTATACATTTTTATTTTATCTTTAATTCATTAAAGTTTAGGTAAAAACGCATATAGAATTTAATGAGCATCTTTTTATTTCATTATTAATAATTATAAGCTGCCAAAATATTATACGAGGCGACTGATATATGAAAATATGTAACAACTTACTTTCGTCACTAGAGACGAAAGTAAACCCGAGAATACCGATCAAGGAGAAGCGACAGTAGCTGTCGGTGCCTTTGATATCGGATGGACCTTTTTCACAGTATGACTTTGACTGATACACAACTTAGCACGCTGAGAAAACATGCTTATTTTCTACACTGAGCGAAATAGTTTGGCAAATTATCTGAAACATTGTTATAGTCCATGCGCAAATTATGTTATGTGATTTAATTACATTGAAGTAGTTAGGGTTAATAGCAATGGTGAAATTTCAGCACCAAAATATAATGCATTATATAATAATTACTTATTTGTTATAAAAGTAGAAGACGTTTATTATTTTATAATTAATCTATATAATTTGTTTAATATTTGGTTTATTTATATATTTATTGATAAAGTAATTCACAAATTAAGTGATGCTAAATGGTTGAATATGACATGTAGAAGAAGACTTCATATGGCTACTCTGTTTCACAAAATAATTTTTGTCTAGGGCTGGCACTGTATGCCAGCTCTATTTTGCAGTGTTACATTAGGTGTTTTTTTACAATTATATTTTTTTGTTCCATATTCTGTGTAAGCTGCAAATAAATGAATTTATTATTATTATTATTGTAAAAAATGTAATAAAAGCACCATATTTAAATTAAATCACCTTTTCCTTAAGTAAAAATAAGGTAAATAAAATTAAGGGCACCAAAAAAAATTTAGGGTAACAATTAAAAAGACATTAAGTTTGAGAGGTTTAACTAAATATTTGCAATGTGCATATATTTTCAAAGCTTTTAGGTTTAAAAAGTACTTACATATTTTTAGAATTTCTGGATTCATATTAGATTAAAAAGACTTTCAAGTTTATTACTCATTTCTGTAAAAACAAGTGTTTTCTCGCAAAGATAAACCAGATGTCATTTAAGGTTTATGTATTTAGAGTTAAATCACTGGCCTGGCTATCACCCAGACAATACAAATATGTCCATTGGACGTCGTCCATTCGATATATAATGAGTTTTTTCTGGACTTCCGACATCCAATGGACGTTTAGTGAAGTATAAAAATGGCACACTTTTGACCATTCAGAGGACGTCCAATTCTGGAATATATTTGGACGTCGAATACTGGACATTCAATTAAAGATCGCTTGACCTGAGCAGGAATTGTACTCACGACACATCCATTTTTTATTGTTTACTATAATGGAATAAGATTTCAAACTTTCGGTGATAGAATGAAATGCAATAGATTCAATTTGTCAATTTTTAATAACCAATTATATTAAAAAAAGGAAGTGTATATAGATGAGAATTAGGCTTAATAAATAATGACCTAAGATGGACGTCCGCTGGACGTCAAAATACTACTAAACTTAAAATTAAGTCCAAAAACAGATGTTCTCTGGGTATCGATATTCAGCTGTCAAATTAATTAGCATAAACGGACGTACACTGGATGCCCGGATATGGACGTCCTGACCCTCAAATGGATCTAAAATGTACGTCCATTGGACTATGTGTGCTGTCTGGGCATAGACGAATTTTTAGAAATAGTACTTATTTAAGTATGTACCAATCTTTCCAAAATCAACTCCAGTATGATTCATTCAATAATTATAAATATGAATGGGCAAAACATCTTTATATTGACATAATTGTAACTTACAATTTAGCCATAATAAGGGGATTTCGCCCATTTTGACAAATCCTAATTGAAACACGCGGATTTATTATATATATTTTTTAAATATAATTTCAAAATAAAATAAACAAAATCTGCAGTTCATTCTTTATTAAATTTATTTAAAAGAAGACAAACATATATTTCAGAAAATTCAATACCTACATATGAAAAATAAAATGTCAAAAATGATTAAATCATTATACTTAATATTTATACATGTGATAAAATTCTTAGTTTCCTAATAACTTTTTTGGCACATTTTATATCTGTATTAGAATACCTAAGTGTGTAAAAAATCTTCATCTTATTACTACACAAAACAAACACCATGAAATATCACTTAACATTGCTCACATACTAAACACAACTTGGACTGACTTTGACAGATAACATCATTTTGAGTGATACACAACTTATTTTCGCACATGCGCGTTACAAAACGGTTCACTGAAAACACCAAGCTGTCGCTTCTCCTTGATCGGTATTCTCGGAGTAAACGTTATGGGATTTTTTCTCACTAGTGACGGAAATCAAGTTTTCGCTGAAAGTATCCTGTGGCGAAAGATGTCTTTTTGTAAGTGTTCGTAGAAAAACGTAATTTTTTGACTCGCAAGACTTTAGGGAATAGGTTAAAACTGTTAAAAGAAGAGCGATAGAAAACAGCGCGGGAAAACTAATTTAAATATACTCGTAGTCAATAATTCATGTAAATGTGTTACAAGGTATAAAAGTAACTTTTTCTACGTTCATGCAAAAAACAAAACTTTATAAAACTATATTTAGTGCACTAGTGCAATAAAAATTTTATTGCACTCATCTGTCATTTTACTACAGCGTTTTATGATCATGACAAACAAACATATTCAAATCAACGCCAAATATTTAGTCCATTTTCATTTTCTGTGTTACGTTTTAAAAACAATTGCATATTTTATATTATTTTCAATCATTAATTAAATAAATTAATAAAAAAATGTATTTTATTAAAAATGTCATTATAAATTATGAACACAAACGTAAATAAATTCCTCAAACAAAGGTACACGATCACAGCTACTATAATTTGGATAATACAACTGCAGTTCTATAAAACATTTTTTGGTTTTTGCATGAACGTAGAAAAAATATTGAATGCAACTCGTGCAAAAAGTGTTTATTGTACGCGACGTGAAATTGTCGAGGCCGTCAGGCCGAGTTGGACAACTACTTTTTGCACTTGTTGCATAAATAACTATTAAAAACCGATATCAAAATCGTGCAGATGCCTTTAAAAATTGAGTTCCTTTTATTTTTTCATAGATCATTATATTCAGATTAATTTTATACGGGTAACCCCTTTCTGAAAAAAAAAAAAGAATCACTGAAATCGGACAACGTGGTAAAGAATTATCGCTGAACATACATAAAAAAATAATCCGACGAATTTTAAGTCTGAAGTCGGTTAAAAATGGGTACTTTTCAAAATAAAAAAAATACTACTAAAACGTAAGTTTTATTAAATGTTAGAATTATTTTGTGTAAAAAACTTTGATAACTTTTCATTGTTTCCGATGATTTACATAAAATATGTATCCTATTAAAGGTAAGTAATTTTTTAATACAACGAACCTTTATCTTCTGGATATAAAAAATAAATTTTAATATTACCTTTATTGGTTTTAACTACTTCAGTATGTTTAATTAAATATATCGCTGCTAATCCATAGGCAAGACAAGGTAACCCTAAAAAATAAAGTGTCATTTAGGTTTAGGTTTAAGCCTATAAAATGTTCAATTATTATAAACTGCAGATAATAAAATTTAGAAAACCGTTTATATTTACAATCTTTCAATTTATTTAATAAATTAAATTGGGTTGTTTCTTGTTACTATACTCTGTTTTTAAGCTAAGAGGAGCGATTTGAATTTAAGTTGGCAATTCTGTAGCCTTTTGATTGGTCAGATTACAGTCAGTTTTACACATTACTTTTTAGCATGCATTTTATAATTTGATATCTCATCCATTACTTATTTTTTTACTTTATTTCGTAAATAATAGTTCTTCAGTAAGCAATTGTATTGAAAATCTACAATTATGGATTTTTCTACACTGAGTACTATTAAAGGTAGCAATTCCTGAAAAGCCTTACAAGAAAGGGAAGACACCTTATTATTTTACATGCTGATTCTGAAGGTTTTGTAGAAAATGCATTATTGGTTTTTGAAGGTAAAAAGATGGGAGATTACCATGAAGAGATGAATTCCGAAGTATTTTAGAAAAAAATAATTTTATTACTGATTTTTTTAAACTAAAAATTGATGAATTTCTAACCAAAATGATTAAAATGTAACTAAATATTCAAGCAAATTTTATTTATTAGAATAGAATAAAACTATTTACAAAATTGTTATAACATTTAAAACACCATCTACTACTTTAGGGATAATCTTAATTTGGCACAATGAGTTAACATTACTTTCACAAAAAATATTTTAAAAATACTTAAAATTAATACATAGGTATTGTAACCTACCGCACCCAGGTACCTTAATAATTTATTAATTCCAGCCCAAAGAAAACACCATAAAGCGTATTTCTGTTTACGAAGTAATTATCATTAAAACACTTAGGTCGCTTATTTTCCTAGTTTCGATGTTCAGACCGATATCGACAATATTTCGATACACAAAACTTTCAAGGCACATAATAAATAACCCACCCCAGCACCCACCGTATTTCTATGAGAAGCAAAGACATAGAGACGTCACAAAGCTATTAAAACTTTTACTATAAAAAGCCAGACAAAAATGAGCTCGAGTCATTCAATTTTAATTATTTGACGAGAGCATTCAATTTTTATCATTTGATGTACAAGCATACATTTTATTATTTTACATTCAAGCAATCACTTTATTGTCTGTACCCAGTTATATAGTCTGTACCCTTCCTAAACGCTCTTCCTAAACGTCGTCTATCCTACAATACCTCCTATTCCCGAAGGTGTCAACGTCTCGACGCCCAACATCCTGTCGTCCTATTCCCTACGTCTCGAACGCTGTCACATTCTTTACCATCTAAGTATTTCCTACCGTACACTCATTACGACGTTCAACGTCCCACGCCTTATTTCCGACGCTTGCCGTCCATAAATATTTCCTTCATATCACGTCCCGCACCACCTACATAATTCTACCGTATATCTGTCCCAATACAGTACCGTATTAAATACCTTCCCTTCCACCACGACGCTAGGCGTCTCGACGCGCCTCGACACCCAACCCTGCGACGTACCTACATCGACGCCTTCCACGACGCTAGATGAAATTAGTACATAAGTCTGTATTTCCAATGGTGAGTCAAAAGATTTATTTAACCTTCGTTGAGATACCACTCCGGTTTCGTTTAAGGGCGGCTTGACATTTGCTACAAAATATCAATTTAACCAATAAAACACATGGCCTTCAGGTCATACACCCCGAAAGACACTTAGGATAACATCTGTTTTGGATGGGTGAAATTTTGAGTATTTTAATAGAAATTATAAAAATCAATATACAGGGTTGAATTAAGTTACTTCAATATAAATTATAATAATCAATATTAAAATACATACAGGGTTGTATTAAGTATTTTCAATAGAAATTATAGAAATCAATATTTTACAAATATACAGGGATGTGCTATCTTGGATAAATTGTACAAACCAAGATGGTAAAATTTAATAGTAAGTTAACCAACTGGCGAATACGCTGTTCGTTAGTTCAAGGGGGGACACCTATACGCTAAGCAACCCGTTCTACAAGGTTTGAAACACAGTTTATGTGAAATCAACATAGTAAGGTAATCAACTGGCGAATTGGCGCCGTTTGTTACTTCCGTTGGTCATCACCTCTATGCTCATCGTAATATTTACCTAAGAGGGTGCAACCTGTATATATCTACAATAGAATCAAATCAACATCAACTCAATAGTTAACCAACTGGCGAATTGGCGCTGTTCGTTAACTCTGTTGGTCATCAACCTAAATCAGAATATAAACAACAACACTATAGTTAATCAACTGGCGAATTGACGCTGTTTGTTAACTCTATTGGTCATCAACCTAAATAGGATATATATTGATAGCAAATGAATATGGTCTGCGTTTGAACAGGGCTCAAGTGAGATCTCAGTAAATAGTAACAACTGTAATATACTTTGCTAATTAGTGCATCAAATTTAAGTATGACAAAAATAAATAGAGTTTAAATATGAATTTGTATGTTTTATTTATCAATTTGCACCAAACTTTGCATCGAATCCTGGTTTACCTTAATTAACATTATCACAACGTGGGTACATAATATATCAATTAATTAACTAGACGATCACTTCTACTACTAGAGGAAAAAGGCCAAATTACAGTAAGTATAGAATTTAAAGTAAAACTTGTGAGGTAAATAATAACATTTCAAAGAGAGTAAAGTAAAAAACAAAGAATAAATCAAAAAAGAAGAGGGGGCCTGGGGCGTGGCCGTCACAGTATGTATGAATAGTTCACTTTAAAAAATATGTTGACATGTAGTGTTATGAAAATGTTGGTTCCAGTTTTCAAAACAAATTCTGACTCATAGGCCTGTAAACTTTTGAATGCCTTTATTTGCCCTCTAGCGCATTAACCATGGGTTAACACTAAATAAGCCATAATATCCACATTACTCATAGAAGAGATACCAGTTACTGTGTGATCCACTTGTCATTCACTGATTAACTTTTACTTTTTATACCTATAACAAATATATCCTTAAAAATGTAAATAGATCATTATATTTTATACTAACCTAGCTACATCTGGATATTCCATTAACAATTTTCTTAAATATTTAATATCCATTTTAAAAAGATCATAGTTATTCTCAAAAAGTCAATTTCAAAAGCAAGAAAAAAGTATTTCTGACATCAATCAACAACCATATTGACTTTAATTTGACAGTGACATTTCGTTTTAGACACACATTTCAGATCACAATAATGTGAAATTTGCGACCGTTGTGGACCAATTAAAAAATTACTTCTATGACATTTATTCGTTTCTTAACCGCTCATTGGTCGTTCACCGACTAAGGCCGATAAAGATAATTATTTCATAAATTTTGAACACGACTATATTTCGAAACTCGCTCTTAGTAACAAATCTAGTTACTTTTCCCTGTGTAAATGAGTCTTTTCAATTCGCTCCTCCTAGTTTAAAAACAGAATATAGCTGATGTTATCCTACTAAGATATAAATGCGAAAGTTTGGATGGATGGATGTTTGTTACTCAATCACGCCAGAACGGCTGAATGGATCAGGATGAAATTTGGCCAAAAGATAGACTATAGTCTGGAATAGCACATACGCTTTTTATCCCGAAAAAATATACGGTTCCCGTATGATAGCTTTGTTGTTTTCACAGAGCACGGATCAAACATGATTTTTGCATAGTGGTAGACAAATATAAAAATTTTAAATACAGCCCAGATAGCACACGACGTCTGAAAGACGTCTTTTTTGTGTCTTGGTTTGGTCTCAATGTCCTAGGACGTTATTAAGACGTCTTATAAGACGTCTTGCAAAAGCCATAATTCAGACGTATTAATGTGAGAGCTCAAAGATGGTCTTAAGACGTCTTAAAGACGTCTTGCCAAATCCATATATTAATGTGAAAGCTCAAAGACGTCTTACAAACGTCTTTCAGTCGGACGGAAACTTGCACGGTTTACATAATTCAAATGTAACAAGAAGAATCAAATGAAGTGAAGTTTGACGTTTGATTTAACATTATATTCAAGCCGGACTTCCGATTCAGACAACATCGTGGCAATATTGAAATGGCGTTCTCCGAATCGGGAGCCAAGAAATCCCATAAAAATCACAAAATATCTAGTATAAAAGTGACCATCCGAATTTAAAAAGTATACAAAATTAAACAAAATATTCGGTGTAATAAAGTGAAAACGAAGAAAAGAAGAAATACATTCAAGCCCAAGCCAAAAATTTGTATGGCCCAAGCTCATTGTGGATTATTGATTATTTTATTGCGTACACGATTATAGCCACCAAAAGCGACTTTGGGCTATTTTGAGCATTTGCCTCTTTCTACTTAAATAATATGGGACAAAAACCAGAGAGGGAAGAATAGTTTGTGTTACCGATGTAGCACGTTCCTGGAATACAGGTAATAAATGAATATTTGGTTATATACATAAAACATTAATATTCTGTTTCTTCTAAGAATAATTAAATTAATTTAAAAGTAAACATCTTAATATAAGATTTAATTCAGATATTCGTCAAGTATCATTTTTGTTTTGTTTTTATAGAGATTTTGAGAACTAATAATATCAAAAACTCCCTATTAGATAGCCATTTTCAGTGAAGTTAGAGTAAAATTGTTAAAGTAGGCGATTAAGCATAATAGCTCATATTGCATTAAATGATTATAAAAATTCTTTGATTTAAAATTCTAAGAAATTAATTTTTTGTTTTATTTTATAGATAACTGTTCTGTCGGTTTTTACTAACTTTTGCAAAGTATAATTTTCTGTGACTAGATGCTCTTAACTAAATTTCTTTTTAGGAGCTATACAAAGGCAACTACAAATCAAAGAGAAAAATCAATCCAGTTATGACTAAAGAGGAGTGATCGAATGCGCTACAAAGAAAATAACTCTTAGTGACCTGTGATTAATAGATGTTTTATCAATAAATATTTTAATTCT